GTGACCATAAGCATTAGAATGAAAAGGGTGAAACGCTTAGGATGGTGGAGAATGAGAGACAGACAGCGCCTGAGCCTCTGCCGGGTCCCTGTGAGAGACTGCTGGATGTGGGCCTCAGGGAGCCACTGCTTGATTCTCCCCCTTTGGAATCAAGTTGGCCTTATCCTTGGCTTTGCACAGAAAGAATGCAGAGGGGGTGACATTCTGGGATGGCTGGAGATAGATATTAGCAAGCCCTATGGTATCCACCATTCCCTGAGGGAACCCAGACACTATGTGAAGGAGCCCAGACTGGCCAGTGAAGAAAAAGACCTGTGGGTGAGATGCCACCAGAAGAGAATGGGGTCTCAGAAACAGAAGTAGACCAGCCAACATCACAGAAGAGGGAGACCTAAACCCCCATCAGCTCCTCCCCTGGGAGCCATCCTAATTGGGGTATCAGATGCGTGAATGAGGTCAGGCTGGCTCCTTATGTCGCCACCAAAACCACAGGAGCAGAGAGGAGCCAACCCCACTGAGCCCTGACCCACAGAATCGGGACAGTAATCGTGGTTTTTCCAGGCCTCTAGGTTTGGGCGATATTTGTTACTCAACAACAAATAACTGGCTGAACAGGCCCTGAGGGGGCTGCTGCCTGCAGCCCCTGCACACACACTGAAACATGTCTCCAGGCCTGTTCCCTGGGTGCTCTAACCTCTGCTTCGTCAACTGACCTGGGACATCCAGATGGAAGGTGACCTTCTGGCCCCCGGCCTCGCAGACGTACTCCCCGCTGTCCCCCTTGGCCGCCTGCTGCAGCACCAGCCGCCGGGTGCAGCCCGTGGCCTCCACACGCACTTTTGAGCTCCCACTCAGCTTCTTGCCATCCTTGTACCACGTCACCTCCGTCTGGGCCTGGGCCACCTCGCAGCTCAGCGTGGCACTGGCCCCGGCCATGGCCTTCACCTCGCTGTGAGCAGACTGCTCCTTGGCAAACACCACCTTGGGCTCTGTGGACAGGAAGGGACACACAGGGTCAAATATATTTTCTAAATCAGGAAGACACCACTCGGGACGCAAGGACTGAACAGGGAGGTGGCAGGACGGGAAAATCCTCAAGGCTCTGTGTGATCTGCAGAAGCCCCAGCACCTTCTCGGCACAAGTAGCTCATTCATCTGCACATTAACCACTGCCCAGGGGGCAGTCTCTGCTGGGGACACCGTGATGGACTTCTCCAGAGCACACACCCTCTAGCAGAGGGGCTTCAGGCCAGGAGGGGTGCACACACCCGCCCCAGGTGGCCAAGTCTTTCCCGGATGTGCAGGGAGCATTCCCACCCAGCCAGGGACAGGTCCTGGGCTCCACCTCCCACCTGCCTCCCGTGTGTCACCTGCTGGCCTCCCAGGGGACTGAGCTGTGCCTCCTGAGCCTGTCTCTTCCATGGTGTGGATGACTCACAAAGTGGTGGGCCTTGGCTATGTTTTCGGTCTTTACTGTTTGCTCTTCTGTGGTGTGTCTGTTCATGGGTGTTTGGGGCACCATAATACTTCTCCCCACTCCCACCAAGTCTTATGATGTATCTTTTGCATCAATAATATTATCTGAATTTCACTCCAGTTTTTCACACTTTTATGCATTTTACTTTATTTCCTGCTGACAAAAGTGGTGATTGTGAGCCCCCTTGCCTGTTCCTGCTCTCGCAAGCAAAGCCTTCAAGTGTCACTTAGTGTGGTTACCTAGTTGTCCTTCAGGATCATTAATCAGAAGTATGAACTGTTTTCTTTATAATTGGTTAAGAATCTATGGCATGACAGGCCCGGAGCAGCGGCTGCCAGGCTGGGAGCGGCCAGGCCCGGGGGAGCAGGCGGGGCTGGTGCGGCCAGGCCCGGAGCAGCGGCTGCCAGGCTGGGAGCGGCCAGGCCCGGGGGAGCAGGCGGGTCGGGTGCGGCCAGGCCCGGAGCAGCGGCGGCCAGGCTGGGAGCGGCCAGGCCCGGAGCAGCAGCAGCCAAGTCCAGAGCAACTAGGTCGGGAGCGGCAGTGACCAGACCCAGAGCAGCTGGTTGTGGAATGAACCAGAGCAACAGAGGCCAGGCCCTGAGCAGCCAGGCCCAGAACAGCTCGCTCCTTGCCTGCCCCTGCCCCACGGCTGCTTCTCAGACATGGCTGGAAACTTTCGTGGGATCTTGAGGGTCTGCTGAATCAACTGATGAAGGCTTAGATCTGGATGTGTTGAGTTAGTTTAGGACTGGGGTGTTGACCTGTGAGTGCCTTGGGTGGGGCCTGGATGAGGCTGGTTGACCTAGTGGGAAATGTCTTTTGTGTGAAGTGTATCATTGGGCATGTGGAGGTATTATTGATATGAGAAAATGCTAAGTAACTGATTTACTATCTGAAAAGGGATTTACTATTGGGGAAATTGAGGGAAGAAGAGACTGAACATAAACTGCACCTATGGATGAGGACAATGGGGGATTGGGGGGGGAGGACGGAGGGTGGGGTGGGAACCTGGTGGAGGGGGGAAGAAATGAGGAACCTTTGTAATAATATGAACAATAAAGATTGCTTTAAAAAAAAAAAATCTATGGCATGAATAGATATTAATAAACATTTCTTCTAGATTTCTAATATTCCATGTTATCAAAACTCAGCTCTGCGCTGATGAGGCAATCGCTTTATATTTTAGTTTCAATCTGCTCATGACTTGAGTGAGGTTGATTTGCTGACCTCACAAGCTGGGCCGTGACTTTCTTTATACTGCACTGTCCTCTTAAGACATTGCCCATTCTTTTGGATACTACTTAGCTTCAGATTTTGGCCTTAGGTCTCCAAAAGGGAGTGGCCCATTATTTGAACTCTCCCTATCAATCAGATGTTGGTGATAGATGTCACCTAATAAGCCAGGGACTCTATGTCCTTCTCTAGCTCTACAGGGATCTCCATGAACACTCAATAATGTCCTTATAGAATAGTTCATATATTTTCCATTGGAGCCATCTTGACCTATATAAACTTTTTTTTTTATTGTGGTTCCATTTATTGAAAAGGATGGTAGGACTATTTTAGCTGTCAAAATCTTATGCCACTTCTCATATAGTTTTCTAATAATTTGGTCAATTTCTCAAACATTTTCATGTTTACTCCTACAAAATCATTTGTCATATTCTCTTAAAGTAACAATTAAAAATGTTTGGTGGATTTTATTTCTGTATCTATACACAACCACAAGTTATGGTACACAAATATAACACCAAACTGTTACGCTGAGGCACCGGGAAGTAGATTTGAGGTTAAAACTCTCCTAACAAAATGAAAACACAGTTAGTTCACAGACCTCTCTGTGAACAACGCAGACAGGGACGAATACACATGCGTCATTAGGAAACACTATGGCATAAATACTGACAAAACAGTCGAGGGCTATCGGTATAGTTCCCTGTCTTCAACAAGGTGTGCAGAGTGAGAGAAGCTCCTTATTACCCTCCATGTCTAAATCTGTACATCAGACTCAGGTGATTCTGACACAGGACACAAAAGGAAACCAAGATGTACTTTAGGAAGAGAATTCCAGACCTCACAGGTACAGGTCCCTGGCACACACCTAACAATGCTCTGGTCTCTGTTTACTTTTTGCACAGACCTTGTAAGAAAAAACGGATCTAGATTTTACTCCAAGTGAGGATCCAATAACTTCTATATCCACACACAAGGGAGTGCCCTAAAAAGCTACAATTGCTAACACATGGTTTAGTCTTTAGATGGATCGAGTAAGACTGGGTGGCAGAGACTTCCCCATATTCTATTGTAAGGAAATTCAAACGTGTATGTGGATGGGTGTGGGCATCTAAGAGCTACCAGGACGTGGAGAGTAGGAAATTCACATGACACAGGTAAGAGACGTCTGGTCGCCCTCAGACTCCACCTGACAGGTAGAGCCCAAGTCCCAGCTGGTGAGGAGCACCCAGAAGGCTCTGGCAGGTGCTGGGAACCATGATTGAGCAAAGCCTGAGCACCACTCCGCGTTTACAGGATCACATCTCCCTCCTGCTCACATGCTGCCCACCCAGCCTGGTCTGGCCCCACCACTGAGATGATATGGGAGATGGAGGATAGAAGGCTAAAGAGGGAGGTCCAGTGGAAAGAGAGACAGGGTGTGCCCGGCTGTAGTCACTACCCTCACACAAAGCTCAGTTAGTGCCACCAAAGAACTGACCTGGGACATCCAGATGGAAGGTGACCTTCTGGCCCCCGGCCTCGCAGCTGTACTCCCCGCTGTCCCCCTTGGCCGCCTGCTGCAGCACCAGCCGCCGGGTGCAGCCCGTGGCCTCCACACGCACTTTTGAGCTCCCACTCAGCTTCTTGCCATCCTTGTACCACGTCACCTCTGTCTGGGCCTGGGCCACCTCGCAGCTCAGCGTGGCACTGGCCCCGGCCATGGCCTTCACCTCGCTGTGAGCAGACTGCTCCTTGGCAAACACCGCCGTGGGCTCTGGAAACAGGGAGGGATGCACAGTCAGAGGCCCCATAGCGGTTGACCCCTGAAGCCACAATGAGGCTCAAACACGGAAACCGCCGGTCCCCCGAGATCCTTTGTGGTCGGGTATTGCCGCACAGTCCTCCCAGCACAGGGTGCCTGACTGCTGCCTCAGTAAGAGGGCGGCAGGGGGGTTGGCAGAGCCTCTCCTGGAGGCAAGGCGGTGCCAAAGGACTCAGAGAACCCACGAAGAGGCCCTAGTGGCTTCTAGAAGGAGCCGGGACCTCACAGTCGCTGAGGATGCTGCCACATCTTTTGGGTCTGCTCAGCCTCCTCTGATCTTTAAAAGGAGGACAACGACTTCACAGTTCCTTCTTATTTAGCACCGTTCATCCATCTCAGTGCTCGTTTTGGGGGTAATTTCTTTTCCCAAACCCAAGGAGCTGTCCCACCCCAAGCATTCACATGATCAATGAAGAGCCTGGCAGCTCTACCTCGCAAGTTCCAGACCTCCTCCCCACTGACCAAGCCCTTGAGTTGCGGACTCACCAGAGACACGCAGCTGGAAATCCACCGAGTGCTCGCCCACACGGCACGAATAGGTGCCCTCGTCTTGCCTGGTGACTGAGCTGGCCACCAGCCGATGCCGCGTGCCCACATCCTCCTGCGAGAAGTGGGAGCTGGAGCGGCCCAGCTCCAAGCCGTCCTTGAACCAGCACACAGACACGTGGGCCTCCGTGGTCTCGCACTCAAAGCGGGCCGGACCCCCGGCCACCGCGTCCACGCAGCCGCCTGCCGAGTCCTTGTGCAGAAAGGGCGTGAGTCCTGCGAGGGCAGCTGGGGGAGGGGGCAGGCCTGTGAGCACACCCACACACCAGCAAATGCAGGGTCTCAGGGCTTTGGGACCAGGTGGAGCCCTGGCTCAGCCCAGCCCGGGGTCCCTTCACACAGGGCCTGCTGCTGACTTCCAAGCCACCACTGCCATGGACTGTTAGGACTTCCCCGAGGGGTCCCTCCCTCTACTGAACAAAGCCCTTGCTCCCACTCTCTCCATGGGGCAGAGTGAGCACCCTCCCACACCCCCACGGTCCCCATGGAGTCACCTGAGCTTTCCCCTTCCCCACCCGTAACAGGGGTAACCTGAGCCACAATCCCCACAGTCACCTGAAAATGCCCCCTAACTTACCCGGCCACAAAAACAACAGCTCCCATTGCCCTGGCCCCCTAGAGCCTGCCCAGAGTTGGGTACAGAATGCGGTAGCTGTAGCAGTGGCCAGAAGGACGTGGACACATGTGGACATGCTCACCTTGAACTGACAGGTGGTAGGCGATGCGGACCCCACGGCTGACACACTCATACAGGCCAGCGTCGTCCCGCGCCACATCCCGCACCAGCAGTGCCCGCCGTCCTGCCGAAGCCTGCACCTTGTACTTGGGGCCCGGGGGCAGCGCTCGGCCGTCCTTGAGCCACGTTACCGCCGTGGCCTGGTCTGACAGCTCCGCCAGGAGCTGTGCCTCCTCGTGTAGCCGGGCCAGCACCTCCCGAACTTCTGTTGGATGCTTGGTGGTCAGCCCTGGGGGCCCCCACAGGTGGAGGGAGAGGACAGTGGAGGTGACAGAGAGTGGAGGAGGAGGAGGAGGAGGAAAAGGAGGGCAGACAGGTGGAGACATGAGCCTCGGTGTCATCAGGAGTCCAGCCCCTCGTCCGCTCATACCCTGTGGCAGGGGACACCCCCCAGGCAGCGCAAGCTGCTTCACATATCCCCCCCAAAAAAAAAAAAAATCTGGTCCTGCTTGCCCAGGCCACAAACCCAGCAACCCACCAGCACGCCCCAGGACCCCTGGGCCCGGGGTCACAGGTCCCACTCCTGCCCCCACCCTTAGAGGAAATAGAACTTGGAGAGGCCCCGGGGGTCATGGGCTGGGGTCCACCTACCTCGGACCTCCATGCGGATGCTGTTCTCGATGCCATTGGCCACGAACTTGAGCTCAGCGCCATGCAGGCTGGCGGGTACCGAGCGGATGGTGAGGACGTGCCGTGTGCCCTCGCAGCGGATCACGTATGTGTGGCTGGCCTTCAGAGCCTTCCCATCCAGGAACCATTCGCCCGCAGAGACCGAAGTGAGGTCCACAGAGAAGGTCACCTCACTGCCCTCCACCGCCTCCACTGCCTTCAGAGGCGTCTTCACCGCCAGCTGGGGTGCTGCAGGGTAGGGGCTTCAGGAAGGAGCAGGGCGCCTGGCCTCCCCTCCTCTTCCCCCCCCAGAGCCTGGGCCCATGTGCCCTCTCCTCCAGGAAGCCCGTCAGACAGGCCCACGCCAACCGTGAGAGATCGCAGGGTTCAGGACCGAGTAGGGACAAGTTAGAGCCAAGCAAGATCCCCTCGGATCCTACGGTGGGGGTGCAGCTGTGCCGCCTGGTCGCCTGGGGCTGGTGGACACAGAGGTTCCGGGGGGCCTCGAGTCCTGTCTCAGAGTCCCTTCCCCTTCCCACGGAGGAGGCGCCAGCATCAGGACCCCCACCCACGGCCGTGAATAAAGAGGCTCCATGTGAATAAAGGACCACTGTGGCCTCGCCACGGCTGGGCTGTGCTCTAGGTCTGGGAGCCTCAGCAGCAGGCACCCTGCAGGCCACTGTCTGGAAGCCAATGGGAGCAGAACCTTCCACACTTACCCAGGTGGACCGTCCCCGGGAACTCAAGGTAGGAGCTCTGGCCGAAGCCGTTCACAGCTGACACCCGGAACTGGAAGTCCCCCTCCTCAGCCACACTGTCCACCGTCAGCTCAGGGGTGGCCACCCACTCGGCCGCATGGCACCGGCTCCAGGTGTAGGTGCCCAATCGCTTCTTCTCCACCACGTAGCCATCGATGGGCACAGGGCGATCCCCGGCGGGCGGTGGGGACCAGCTGAGAGTCACGGAACTCTCTGTCTTGGCCTTCACCACAGGGGCCTCGGGGGAGTGCGGTGGTGGCTTCCTGGGGGCTGGGCAGAGCACACGGCCTTATCACCAGCTGGGAGCCCCTCCCTGGCCCTGGTCCAGGATCACCCTGCCAGAGGGGGGCACAGAATCCCCAGCCGTCCTAGGGGGCACTGCTCTGATGGTCTGAGATGGCCACAGCCAAGGTGGAAGGCTAGCCTGAGGGGAAGCTGTAGGCCCATCATCCCTGGTCTCAACCTGTGGCCATTTCTCTGGGCGCAGCAGAAAGGGCACCCTGGCTTCAGAGCCACGTTGGGCCCAGGGCCGCCACAAGCTGTCCATGTGGTTTGGGGACGGACACCTTCCAGTTCAGTGCATTGGGTCTTGGCTGGGAAGTGGCTACAGCAGGGCACAGTGATCCTCCTGAGGCGCCCCCGCCAAGAGTTAGCCCTGTGGGGGAGGGCTGGAGTGGGAGGGAACCACCGCCCAATCTACAATGTAGATACCAAACGCCACCGAGAGAAGATGTGCTCACACCTCACACACACACACACACACAACCACACACTGTGCTTCTAGAACAATCTGCACCTCTAATTTGGTTAGTAGGATGAGGGGCTACCAAGTCTCCCATTTTGTCAATGTCTGGGGAAGCCAGAGTGGGAGATGGCTGCAAACAACTGTGGGTCTGAGGGAACCAGAGCTACGGCCTGAACACAATGTGCCCCACCCCCTTCCTGCAGCTACTGAGCACGTGTGGGCCAGCACCGGGTCCGGAGCACGGGTGGCGACAGGGGCACCTCTGCCGTCGCAGAGGCACGCAGGCCCTTACCTGACACCAGGAACTGGGTGGACGTCCGGCAGTCCCCGGCCACAAAGGCCACCTCGCCCACATCCTCCAGGCTGCACTGAGAGATGGTCAGCGTGTGACATGTGCCTTCTGTGGTGATGGCTACTCGGCCCCCGGCCACCACCTCCTCGTGGTTCCGAAGCCAGTGGACCCGGCCCTCCGGCCTGGCCAGCTCCACACAGAACAGGGCAGTGTCCCCCACTCGCACCACCGTCTTCCTCGGGAGCTTTCGGATGAGGTTGCCTAGGATGGCCAGAGCCACAGGTTAGCCAAACCGGACAGCCCGCCCCTCCCCAGTCTCGGGGACCCACCCATCGTGTTGCCCGCCCACCTTGGACGGCCAGCTCGGCCACCGTGCGGCTGCCCTCGGCCATCTCGCAGATGTACACCGCGTCATCGTCCGTGGAAGCGTTGTGGACGGTGAGCCGGCGCTCCGTGCCCGCCTCCTCGATGGCGTACTTGTCGCTGGCCCACAGCCGCGTCTCCTCCTTGTACCACACGGCCTCCGTGGTGGGCAGCGGCACCTCGCACTGAAACGTGGCCGACGCCTTCTCCTGCACCTCCAGGTCCTGCAGCCTCGTCCTGAAGGGCACTGTGGGCTCTGAGGGGAGAGGACTGGTGAGCAGGCAGGGTGGCTGGGCAGGGAAAGAAAGGGGGTACTCGGCTGGGGCCCCTGGAGTGTGGTGGGTAGGGCACAGGGCAGGGCAAGCTAAGGGCAAGTAGGTGCTGAGGTGGGGCAGGAAGTCCGGGCAGGGGTTGGAGGGCTGCAGGGCAGGGGTGAGAGGGAGAGCTGAAGAGGGAAGGCGAGAGGGGCAGGGAGGGGAGACAGAAATTAAAGAAAAGAGCCCCTCCCCCCAAATAGAAGCAGTCTGGAAGGAGAAAGAAGCAAGGCAGGTGAAGCTACAGCCTTCAGCGCCTGGAATTGGTCCTGCCAGAGCCCTGGGCCAGACAGCAGGGCCAAGACCCGCTGGCCGAGGCCCGCGAGGTGCCGCCTGGATCTCCCCGTCGCTTCCTCAGGGACCCCCACGGTGGAGGAGCATTTACTCCAGAGAATGAGGATACTGGGCCTGCTCGGGAAGAGCCATGCACCCTGTTCACAACCCTGGCGCGGTTGAGATGTGTAATAGGGTGGCAGCGGGACCCGGCACTCCAGAGGCTGGTGTTAGGAGGGAAGAATAAAGCGACCTCCCAACAGAACCTGCGGTGCTGCCCACACCTGCCTGGGCCTAGACGAGAGCCTGCAGACTGCCCCAGAGCCACCCAGGCTGTACGCAGCCACTGGGTCAAGCCCTCCAAAGCACAGCGTTTGTCCCCGCCCCTGCCCTCCTGCCCTGTCAGGGAGACAACCCCCTGAGCATCCAGGATACAGTCTGCACAGGGCAGGCTCAGTTGCCAGGCATTCCCAGGGACTCCCACGGGGAGGGGTGCTGGTGACAAAGCGCTTCCTTCTTTACTCTTGCGGCTCACAAAGGCAGGGGACGGGCTGAGGGGACAGGCATTTTGCGGGCCAGGACTTGCAACTAGGGATCCACTACGGGACAGGCATGGAGGAGCCTAGCGTGCATGCGTTCCCCGCAGTGGCTCCGGCAGGTGCGCGGGGCGGGCCCAGCTCACCTCGCACCACCACCAGCACGGAGCTGTAGGTCTGGCCCACGAGGTTGGACGCCGTGCAGGTGTACAGGCCGCGGTCCGCCTGCTTGCAGAAGAGGATCTTGAGCACGAAGTTCTCCTGCGCGTCCTCGTACACCAGGTGCCGCCGGCCCTCGGCCACCGGCTGCCCGTCCTTCTTCCACACGGTCTCGGGCTTGGGCTCGCCGGTCACGTAGCAGCTGAGGCGCGCGTGCTTGCCCTCGGTGACGGTGCAGGTGCGGGTGCCGGCGCCGGGCGGCGAGGCGGGCGCGCCCTCGGCCCGCATGGCCTCGCGCCGCCGCTGCAGGTGCGCCAGGAGGGCGGCGGTGGAGGCGCCGGGCGGGCCCGCGGCGTCCGTGTCCGCGTCCACCGTCAGCGCGGCGGCGGCGCTGGCCTTGCCCAGCGGGTTCTCGGCGCGCACGGTGTAGGTGCCGCCGTCGCGGGGGCGCGCGGCCCGGATGCGCAGCGCGCTCGCCTCGCCGCTGGCCTCCACGCTCACGCGCGGGGCGTCGGGCGGGCCCAGGCGGCGGCCGTCCTTGTCCCAGCTCACGGCCAGCGGCGGCGAGCCGCGCACGCGGCAGCGGAAGGTGGCCTCGGCGCCCTCGCGCACGCGGATGGACGTGGGGCGCAGCAGGAAGTGGGGCGCCTGCTCGGCGATCGCGGCCTCGGCGTCCACCTGCAGCCCCACGGCGGCGAAGGCCTCGCCCACGGCGTTGCGCGCGCGGCACACGTACTGGCCGCTGTCGCCCAGCGCCAGGTCCAGGATGGTGAGGCGGTACTGGTCGTCGTCCTGGGCCAGGCGGAAGCGGGCGCCGGCCTCCACCGGCCGCCGGTCCTTCTCCCAGCTCACCTGCGGCGTGGGGTTGCCCACGATCTGGCAGCTCAGCGTGGCGTCCTTACCCACCGACACCACGAAGGCCTTGGGCCGGGTCAGGAACCGGGGCGCGCCGCTGAACGAGGAATGAGCCATGGTGGGAGGCGGGGGCGGGGGGACCTGGGAGGTGGGGGTGAAAAGTCACAATGAAGACAAGCCCCCGGCACACTCAGAGCCCGCCACCTGGTCCCACCGGGCTGCTTCACCCATCGGTGCCACCCGGAGAGGCTGGGAACCCGGCTAGACACCTGCACATGCCTCCCCTTCCTCCCCCCGCCCCCCCCCCGTGCCCCATCCCCATCCCAGGCAACATCCCCTGAAGGCACGGTGGTTCGGTGGTTCGCAAGTGCAGATTTGCCTCTCTGAGCATTTGGGGTCTGGCTCCACCCTCAAAACAGGTTCTCCTCATGGGCGAGCATCTCCAGCCTCTCCCCCCAGCTCCCGTCCCGCTGCCCAACTTCAGGTCCAGCTGAACACCAGGCCAGCCACCAGGCTGCCCCCTTCCTGCCAAGAGGCATCAGGCTTTAGCGCCGGCCTCTCCCTCCACCGGCCGGCCACACGGCACCTGCTAAGCAGACCTGCTGCGTGCCCCCCTGAGCCACTCCCACTGCCTCAGGTGTCCTGTCCCCTCCCACAGACATCTGCCTCCTGGGGCCAGAAACTGCACTCTGCCTGCCTCTCCTCCACGCAAAGGGCACAGGCTTTTCTCCAGCCCTCAGCCCAGGGTTCCCTTAACCTCCCCTTATTCCGGTTCTTCCCCCAAGTGGCTTCCCCCAGCCTTTGGGCCCCAGCTGGGGCTGTGTGCATGGAGCCCTGTGCCCAGATCTGTCCCGCCAGCAGCAGCTCTGGGCCACCTCTCCTGGGGTCCCCCATCCCTAAATCTCTGGGGGCTTGTGCCCATCTGTGAGCAGGGAAGAAATGAAACCTCTGTAGCCGAGCAAGCTCCTCCTGACAAGACAGCGCCCTCACCCAGCAGTCGGCCTGGCCCCTCACCGTGGGCACCTAGCTCCTCCCTCTGGAGGAAGACTGTCCGGGCAGCGGGCAGCGCAGCCGTCAGCAGCGTGCCTGGCAGTGGCAGAGGGCGGCAGCGGATCCCCCAGGAAGAGCCAGGGACCTCTAGGCCAGCTGGCCGGCTGAGCCCGACCCGGGGGCTGCATCCAGCCCTTTCACTCCACGGCTTCACTCTCCCGGCACCCTGCACGGACAGGGCTGGCACCGGGGGCGCTAAATGTCTTAGGTGACTCTGGCCTCTACCCATCCGGGGAGCCCCCAAGGGCCCCAGAACAAGTGGGTGAGGGGGCTTCTGTGAGAACAGGGTGCGCAGTGGGCCTCCCCAGGCCCCAGGCTGGCACCAAACGCATTAACTCCCTTCGCCCTCAGAGCTGGACCTCCAGCCTCCAGCCTGGGCTGCCCACCACCACAGCATAGGGGGGTGTTTCTGGGTCCTCCGCTGCTGGTCCTGTGACTCAGCACTTAATCCTCTTAATCCCCCTCAAGGAGGCTGAGCCCAGAGCGGCCTGCTGACTCACTGTGCAGTCAGCACCTCTGTCCCCCACCCCACCAGCTGCCCCCCAAGGCCGGACAGGGAGGGCCTGGGAAACCCGGGAGGGCAGCCACCAATGCCCCCCCCCCCCTCCATGGATGTCCCCCAAGCTTTGGCATCCCTCTTTGGAGGGGTTACTTTGACACCAGGACTCCTGGAACCTGAGCTCTGAGCTATCCCTAGTGGCCACCCCAAATCAGATAGTCATTGTGTGGGTTCCCCAAGGCAGGACACGGAGCCTCCCCCCCCACACACACACACACATACCCAGAGCAGGTGCCAGAGAAGCTGCTCCCAGCTCATGAGCAAGCATGTGGGGGTGGGGGCAACTCCACAGCCTGGGCCTTGGGGCCGGGAGGACAGGGAGGGAGTGCCCATCTCTGCACGTGCAGGGGGAGCTGCTGCAGCTGCAGCAGACGTGCAGGCTGTCCCCCGGCCTGGCAGGGGTGGGCAGAGATCCTAAGACCTTCTACAGCCACTGGGGACTCTACTGATATCCTGCTCCCTGTCTAAAGCCTGCACCCCTCACCCTAACTCCCATGCAGCAGACACCATGGGATCTGAGGAGGTTCACCGGGACATGACAGCGTCGGAGCCCCAAGGCAGTCCCGCCAGGCAGGCATCCCTGCCCGTCAGCTGGGCCCGGCGCCCCGAGCACACGCCCAAGGACTCCGGAGCCTCTCTCGTTCGGGAGGCCAGGGGAGGGGACCATACAAGGCAACCTCTGAGACAGGGACCCCTGCAGGGGCCGCCTCCGCCCCTTGCCATGTTGGCAGAAACAGACCTCAGGAGGGGGACCCAGCCAGAACGGGAGCCCCAGCCTCACAGGAGGCCCCTCCTCCCCAGTTGCCTGTTTGGGAGGTGGCTTCCTGGGGATCCCTCAGTGGCCCAGGGCTGAGACCGCCCCCACCTGGGATTGTTCCCCACCCTCCTCGCCCGAGCCTGCCGCTTGCTTCTCGGGCTTGGGTTCAAGGGACCCTGGACCGTTATCCAAATGAGCCCGAGGACCTGACATTCCCTGCTCATCCTCCAGAAAAGACCTCAAGGGCAGATTCTGCATCTTCGGCCCCCAGACCCAGGGTCCTATTTTCCGAACACCACGGGGAAATTCTTTCCTGGAGTCAGGTGTCGCTACGCCTCTGGCTGTCCCCACTACTGAGCCAACAGGCCCAAAATAGCCCCAGCTGTCAGCGGGCATCCATCTCAGCCAGGCTGGGGGCAGGGCTAGCCAGACCCCAGGCCCTGGATCAGAATGGGCCACAAGGCCCCAGTCTCGAAGCTTGACTGCTCCATTCTCGCACGAGGGCCCAGCTCCGGTCGCCGATGGGGTGGGGGCTGGAATCCAGGCCCCCAGCCAGGGAGCAGCATGGCCCAGCCAGAACCCTTCCTAGTCTCCCAGAACCATGACCTTCAGCCAAACCACCCTGCGGGGGAAGGAGGACCGGATGGGGTAGCCCCTACCCCTGCCCGCTCTGCCTTCTCACCTGTCTCAACAGGGGGACTCAGGACAGCGCCCAGGCCAGGGGCTCGGACGGTGGAGCAAGAGCCACCAGGTCTCACCTTCCTCTAAGGGCCCAGGACCGGCAGGACTCCTTCCCGGCAGCCTGCACTCTGGCCGGTCCTCAGACTGGACAGGGACAGAGGACAGGCAGACGCTGTCAGCTGGAGAAGGCTGGGCCCGCCCCCACCCTGCCCCCACCACTGGCCAGGCAGCCCAGCCCAGCTTCAAAATAGCCTGGCTGTCACTGCCCCTATTGAGTTTCACCCCAGGCCCTAGGTAGGCAAAGTGCAGAGGCTCAGGGTAGCTGGGGGAAGGAGGAGACCCTATCTTTCAGCGATGATGATGATGATGATGATGATGGGTAGGGCAGGGCCCCAGTTGGTTGGGACCCCTCGTCAGACCAGCATCTTGGAGAGCAGGCTGGGAAGAAGCCCAGGTGCGCAGGGACCACCTCCAAGGAGACCCAGGATCATGCCCGGGGGACCTGGGACCATCCAGGGGGAACAACTGGCTGAGCTGACACTGGCCACATTGGGTGAGGATGGCAGGATCCGGGCTGGGTGCTGAGCTAGGACACACACCCTAGCGCTGGATCTGGGGCAGGGGTGAGGTGGGGGTGCAGATCAGTACCACCCATGGTGGGGGTCAGCCCATGGACACCCCTGCAGAAGGGCCCTGTGTCAGGCAGGGCTCAGTGGCTGTCTCTATGCTGCCCTGGCTCTGCACACGGATGTGTCTCTCACCTGGGCCCCTGGGGCCGGGGCTGGCCCCTTCCGAGGAGAGGCCCCAGGATTCCCACCAGGTGGCCCCCTCTGAGTCCAGGGCAGCCTGGCCCCCTGACCACATTGTCCCTGAGCCACAGAGATGGGGAGCGGGGAACCCTCCTAAGACCACCCACATCAACTACCCCTGTCCCCATCCTGCCTGCCCACGCCCAGGGCAGGCCCACTGCACCCCACCTGACTCAAGGCCTCTCCTTGGTCCCCTGGGGAATGGCTCCAGGGGCTTGGCCATCTCCAGTCACCGTAACAAACACCACGGGCTGGGGGCTTACACAGCATTTGTTGGTCACAGTTCCTGAGGCTGCAAGTCCGGAATGGAGGCCCTGGCAGATCAGTTCTGCTGAGAGCTCCCTCTGGGACATAGACAATGCCTTCTCACTGTGTCCTCACGTGGGGAGAGAGCGCTCTGGCTCTTCCTCTTCTTAGGACACTAATCCCTCCTGGGAGCCCACCCTCAGGACCTCATCTGGCCTTCTCACCTTCCTCATCACACTGTGGAGCAGAGCTTTCGCCGTGGAAACCTGAGGGAACACAGCACCCCGTGAGGAAGGAAAACCCAAGGAGGCCCAGCCCCACAATGCCGCATACCTCCTGGGACGTGACCGTGGGAGGAGTGAGGCCCAGAGGAGGTGCACACACCTGCTCTTTACCCCTTTTCCAGAGAACTAAAAGCTGAGTGCAGTGAGGTGTGCTCAGGTGGTTGAGTGTCTCACGCAACAAAAGTCGCCAATCCATTCCCGGTCAGGGCACCTACCCAGGTTATAGGTTCAACCCTGAGTCAGGATGCATATGGGCAGCAGTCAATCCACGTTTCTCTCTCCCTAACCCCCTTCCTTCCACGCTCTAGAGATCAATGGAAAAAATACCCTCACTCCTCCGGTGAGGATTTTAAAAAAGAAAAAGCTGAGTGCAGTGGAGTGAAACCCTTGCTGTGTCCTGAATGCACGCCCACCCCACCTGCTGTCTATGTGTGTATCCTCACGGCACGTCTATTGACGAGACCAGAAGGTGAGTCCTACAGTCTCCAGAGGCGCTTTGCCACCTCGCCCATGGCATCCTTCCTGCTGGGAAGGCTGCAGGGATCCGACTCTCCCTCCCTTCTCTGGATCCTCTACCCTGAGATGTCACCTATCGCCTGTGGGCCCACCCAGGGTCAGGGGTACCTAAGGCCCAGGATCCTCTGCCTCTAGTGTGGAAAGGCTCAGCAGCCAGAGAAAATGGGGCTAACAGTCCTTTTACAGAAGGACTCTTTCATGCTTTGTCTGAAAAT